GCTATGCACTTGAGGTAGCATAAAGGTTAGCAAACTCTTGGAATCGCATAACACAGAAAATCACAGAGCGGTCATTCAGTGGAAAAAGCCTGATAAAACGTGGATTCGTCGGTCAACAGCATCGACTAATGCGCATGAAATCTTATCTCAGAGCACTTCAGAATTGCATATAATTGGCTTTAAGCTTGACTCTCTTCAAGTAGTCAGATTCGTTTAAATATTTCTCCCCTCATGCACATACTTCAACCAACACAAGTCCATTATATGAGATAAGAAAGCCAGACACAGACCTCATATCAAGCATATTGGGTGAATAAGAAACTCATCTACATGGAGACAATTCATGAGCATGGATTCTCGTTTGCTTGAGAAAAAACCTTCACGGAGTAGATTCTAGAAAAAATTTTCTGTTGTATTTTCTTCGTCCTTCACTTGGCATTGAACCTACATAACTATTAATTACCTTAAAAACAGTTAGTTCTCGATGTTCCCAGAGAAGAACTCATCAAACAACAAAAGATGAATTTCTCGTTTGTCCCGGGATAGAAAACTTGTATTGAATGAGCACTTGTACGACTCAGAAACCTCACACACCTCTTCGTACAAGTATCCACACTACATGATATTCATCCACATCATCTACTTAGGGGACAAATTAGATGCTAGGTATTTTTTTGCAAACGCTCAATATGATTTCCTCAGTATTATATACAAATTATCAGTAAACAGATCAAACTATATCAGTGCATAATTTAATGTTCGGTAACTATTATGGTCTGTATCCCCGTGTATGATTACTGATGCAGTCATTTACAGATTTTCTTTAAGAGTACAAACTTTTTGAAAAACCAATTCATTAGATGAAATTTTAAATTTAAACAAGAATTTAACAACATTTCATTTTCTGTTGCGAACTCTTAATCTTTCCTGGTTCTGGTGTGACATCGCAGTTCTTGAGAGTATCAGGATCAATAATTTCACATTTGAAACGTTTTTGAAAAACCAAATGTTCTATGAGATCCAGCGTGGTTGATTATCTATGTTTCCATTCGTTTTTGGAATTACCACACGCCAAGAAATATTGATCGTACATTGATGTAAATATATGAACTTTCTGAGTTTTGCCGTTTCATTTGAGATACTACAAGATTATATTTTGCGATGTTCGTTCTTCGTCGTTTTTGGGATCCTTTCAGCCTCTCCCGGTAACCCATCTATGAACATGCTCCAAAACAGAAGTTAGCGCCAGATAGTCCAAGTGGTGTAGTATACAGCTGACTATGTGGGTTTATATAACAAGTGCCTTCAGACATAAAAATTTAATTTTTAAAATGCTCCATTTTCACTTTCTCTGAACTTTGTGATGCCCTACACCCCTAGTGAACTACGTTTCTCAGACCAAAGCTATAAATTTGAGTAGACCAACACGTGTTCTGTGCAGTGAAACTCGTGTTTAGTCAAATACTTTTACTTTTCATAGAAGAATTTAGCCAGAAAGTACGATCATTATTAGTATTTTCCAATTTTGCAGGTATGATTTCGCACATGTGCGAAAGTCGGACCCACATATGTTTTTGGGTACAGGTAGTACTCAACCTGTACTACTTATACTGCAAGTACGAGTTCTATCACTGCTGTGTAGACTGAAATATCACGGCTGTAAAATTCAGTTTCAACGATTTTTAAGGCTATTACGGAAAATGCTATAAGTCGAAAAGGAAGCATTATCTAGTAAAAATATTTTGGGAATCCTCCTAAATGTGTTAGCGCTACCTACTGTGAAAGTTTGGTCGCGAAAACTGAACATCAGTTGAGCAGCTTAGGTCGTGCCAACAGTGCAACGGTTCATAAGACCGTTTCCTTTATAGCCAAGGTGACTGAATTGGATATATTTTCTACTTTTCTACCCGTCAATGAGCGACATCATTTTTTCTATTTTTCGTGTAGTGGGATTGAATTCGTACGTTAGCAATTAATATTTTGGTACTAGTATGACTATAAAAGTTGAAGCATATCTCCCACGGATCGATAACAAATTAGGTTGAAAATGTCGATACAAATTTAAACACATCAGTGTAAAATACTAAGATAAAACTTATAATAGGCTAACTTGAGCGGGTAGAATTCACCTTTTTTAACTTCGTGAAGCTGCCATTTTGCTCTCTGCTTTTTTTTTGAAAGAACGTGGAAGGATTGATTTTTTGCTTGATAAGTACAGACGAAATCCACAGAGAATATACCACCAAATACGTCGACTTTTGGCGCTAAATGCGAAACATACATTTTCTGATACAGTTTCGCACGCTGATTCCCACAGTGAAAAGGAGCTGTAGAGAAAACTGGAAATGTATGTTAGCTCCGGCTCATGTGGTCGGTTTTCTCACGGACCATCTCTTAATGAACTTTTCGTTACACACACATCATTCCGATACCATAATTAAATGTTTTCAACTTTAAAAATCTAATGTCCGCTTGCTCGAATAAAAAAAAATGAAATAAAAAAATCGAGGATTGCTATAACACCTGGCGCGACGTGGTGTGTTACGGTTCTTATTCTCCTTCCTTGTTGATTGTACGAGAAAATATTTTCATCACGTCATACCACTGGTAAAAATCTGTTTGAATTTCTAACCGATATTCCTGTTACCTACCATTATCGTGCAAATACTAGTGAGAAATGTAAAGATGCGATCGATGAGTGCAGCGGGCAAAAAGAGACAGCTGTAAGAGGCATTTTCTGATCCGTTAAGACAGTCAGTAGCGTAGGGGTGAAGGGTCTTAAAATTAGATTTTGTGATGTTTTCGCGTTTGTCTCGGTCAGTATAAAGTCTTGATATAAGCTTTATTCTTTCAGAATACAAGCGGAATACAAAATATTCCATTATAGTATTCTAAACTAAAACTATCGAAACATAAAAGAAACTTTGCACGAATACAGATTCGAACACATGAACTTAGCTTAGCAGTAAAGTGCAAAACTAAATCCACTGTTCTATATCAAAATAAATAAATAGTATAAAGTATTACTTGATAATTTTGGCATTTATGAAATCAGCGTTGAATTCTACGTCAGAAAATGTATGATATAATCGTGTTTAGACAACTTTCGTTTTTTCGTATTCTAGTTATCTCTATTTCATACACTTTTGACCATCAAAAATTTTCGATCGAAAAAGTCCTAACTCATAAATCATACGTCATGCATTTTCTGACGTAGAATTTAAAGCTGATTCTAAAAGTGAAAAAGGTTTTAATTGAAAATAAATACTCAGAGAAAAACGCGAAGAACTTCCGAAAGTACATATAAATGAGTATTTCAACATTTTTTCCGGCAGTATTGGTCTCAGCAAGATTCTGGATATTGCCTGATACTAACTATAAATTATTTTTGAAATTCGAACTGTAAAACCTACGATAAAGCAAAGAAAACGAATTGAGGCAGGACCTCGCATTTTTCACATCTGAAAATTGAATTGAAGTTATTGTGCATCTAGCGTTTGTTACTGCCTCAAACTTCGCTATCTCGTACGGTTATCTTCCTTTTATATTGAAATGACTCGGCTCCAAAATAACGAAGGTGACACGTAAAGGATGCTTGAAAGGGTGAAAAACCCATAAATCCATTGAAATCTGTTTATCGAGCGTGCAGTGAGTAGCGGTGAGAAAAAAAGGGAGAAAACTGTAAAGTAACGGATTTTAACAAGTCTAAAAACGTAATCCAGCTTCGGATCAAGATCAGTACATTAACTGAAGAATGAAGAAAAGTCACAAAATAACACTAAGTTTTCTCTTTTCTTTCTTTCGCTCTGTGATTTTGTTTTGTTTACTCTCTTTTAAACTTTCACAATCTAAAAAACCGAATATCTATTTTAATAAAATTAAAAAACTCGTATCATTGTTTACCTGACAACCAAAAACATCATCGGCTTCTTAACGGTTGTAAAAAACTGGATCGATTTTCTAACTTCGATAAAAAACCAAAACAGTTTTTTGGAGAGTCGAAAAAACTGTTTTGGTTTTTTATCTAAGTGAGAAAAGAATTCTTTCGTTTTTCAACGATTAAAAATAACTTACCACAGTTCTTCGATCTCACTAAAAAAACCTGACTCGGTTTTTTAATCACCTCGTTTTTCAGTCAAAAAATGGTTGATGTATTGATAAGCGAACAAGGGTTTTAGCTTTTTTAGTTTCGATATAATTCCCGAAACGGTTTTTAAGTTGGTTCAAAAAACGGTAACCCGCTTTTTTTAACTACAATTTCTTTTTTACAGTGTAGAGTTATGATATGCGCCTCATGCACATCTACACTGAATCTGCTTTTTGTGGACCATTCTCTAATGTATAACTATTTGTCCACCTTTTTAATTTAACATTCTAAAAATACTGCAGCAAGTATATAGCTTCGATTTGGATGTCCGTATCGCGTTTTCACTTCGAACTGCTTAACAAATACTAGGTAAATGTTGCCCAGCGCCTTTGTACTGGATTCTGTGATTTGAATTTGTCAAAATCGTCGGAAATTTGAGAAAACCAAATCCTTCACATCCTTTTTGCTCTCCTTTCTCGATTTTGCTGAGCAAAAAAATTTTCGAAAATTTTCAAAAGGACTAGATCGATAAAAATTCTTTTTGTGAAAAATCAATAGGTGAGTAGGAAATTTTATTTCATGAGTAATTTGCACACGGATCAGTTTTCTTCTCTGACAAAACTATCTGACAGTACTCTACCTTTTTACAGAACTTCACTGTCCCTCCCATGGATTTGGTCTTATCAATTTCGACGGTGCAAAACATCGTGGTGTCCTTGAAAGCACCATTTTCAAGGATATTTACGCTAATCCTAACTCTACTTTCGCTATCTACATTATAATTACTCGTCGAGATGCTGTGAAAGATATTCATAGTTATTTTATTCTAACTGAATCTGGTACTACTCATCCAGGTCAGGAAATCTCTATCAGAGTTATTGTACCTCTCAAAAGACATCAGATTACACTCTCAATGAATGGCTTCACTCAGCAGCGAATAAATATTGATGAACATTTAAAATTTCTTCAACGTTTAAGTGAAGGAAAACAACAACGTAGTGGAATTACATTTGAAGAATTTACAGAATATTATACAAGAGCACATATCCCTGATACACGAGAAATAAGTGATGAGATTGAATTTTCACTTACATTTTGGTTTGAAATGCAAGATATGTACTTTATTGTACGGTATAAACGAATTGATGATTTTGAGCTTTTCAAGAGAAAGGTGAGAGAATTGGTAAATGATCCAACTAGTCCAATGGCAAGAGCTTTCGTTATAGTTGAGTTGTAGTGATTTTCCAAAAATAACGACGTCGTGTTACCGACAAACCATCCGTCGGCTAGACATCTGTCACTGGATGGTTTCTTTTCTTTTGTGTTCTTTGTTCTATTTTTGCCGCTGTTTGATGTTTTCTGATAAGTTTTTCTAGCCTTCAGAGGAGGACCTGTGACAAGCGAATGTCTCCAACTGATAAAGCGCTTTCTGGTCAAAAACCTGTCCTCAATAGGTGATCCACAATATGATGAATCCGGATATTGTTACGAGATAGACTGCTATGCCTTAAGAGATCGATTTTTGGAAAACAAGGTTCAGCAGTCAACAACTTAGTTAATTTGTTCTATCGAGCGTAGAGAGCACTCCGATGAACTTATAAAAGCTAATTTTGTCAGATTTAAAATTTTTTTATGTCAAAGAAAGTTTCTCACGTTTAACGCACTTGTTTTCTATATCTCTAAGTAAACCTTAAGTTAAATCTCACTTAACTCACACCCATCATTAACAAGAACGTTTTGATCAAAACCAGAAATAGACAAATATTTAAGATTTGCTATTATTTTAAGTAATATGGATAAATTCTGTAATTTCTGAATATTGATAGAATCTGTAACAGTAAATTTTGTTAAACAGGGCAATAACAGTGCCTCAGCCGTGATATTAGTTAGCTTTCCACTAAGTAATTTGTCAACTTTTATTGTCTTAATTCGTGGTATAGTTGAAATTAATAGAAGCAGAATATCAACGCTCAGACGAAAGACATAGAGATAAACTAAGCTTGTTGAATAGAATTTTTGTTGTAAGAAGTGAGTTTGATAAGGAAAATCAGATATTAATTTTAAAAATTTTAATGATTGAAGTGAAAGTACAGTTTCAATTATTTACTTTTCACTGAATCAGCTGAATAGAAATTATAGTGAATAGTCAATGATGTTAAGTTTGTTAGAAGTGGTAAGGCACTTGTTACATGAGAATATTTGGCAAGTCCCAGACTGAACAATTGTAAAGAGCGGATTTGTGTGTAAGACGATAAGTAGCGCGATAGTTGTTGAGTTGCAAGTTGAGAACAATCTAATTTTAATGATTTAACATGGTGAGGTCTATAATGGGTTAAAATCTGATTTAAAACGAATTGTGATTCACTTGAGTTTGTGGTGAAACATTTTACTTGGACTTTGGTTTGCTGTTGAATGATAGAATTTAGAGCTGAGTTTCGATTGTAATAATGAAGTCATTATCGCCAGATCGGAGCAAGCTATATATCCAAATTGGACATACAGCTCGGTCGGGAAATATATCCAGATTGCGATATGCGCCCACCGCATAATTTGATTTTCAATCATTCTGTCGCTTTGGATGACAACTGAAAAGTTCCATTATCGCCGGAAATCGTATATACACAGCACGCTCTGTATTAAGAAAATAAAGTACAGTATCTAGATGGAAATGTCGTTTGCATACTCTTCCTAATGTATGTTTGATATTGAGATTAATCAAGTTCTGAGGTGAAAGACAATACTCGTTGATAACTTTCACAGGGAATTTTCGTTTTTTTTGTCTAAGTCAGACTAAGGTCCTTCTTTCGAATTTTCTCTTCTACGAGCAGCTGAAACTTTGCGCTTTCGAATGGTCTTTCAAAACATTTTAGCTGTCTATAAAAAGTATCGGTAGAGATAAGCAGATGCGCGTGGAAAACATGATAAGTTTAGAAAAGTGGTTTTTCTTCATGCAGCGTTCACTTCCACGATCAACCAAGCATTCAGTTCCTAGATGATGAGGCTACCTATACTTGGTGAATCGTCACCTTGTATGATAAATATTTCCTATAGAGAAAACAAGAGTAGCTAAAATGATTGATCAAAATTTTATCCTCTGGGAAGCGAACGCTTTGTTGATCCAGATGATTGCTCAAATTCAGTCGCTTTCAAAGCGATATTTAAGTAAGGACCAGGATAAACGTTTTATACACCGCTCAGCTCCTTGCTACCATTCTGCATTTCACTCTACAATGCATGGATCTACTGAGGGTCAACAGCGACGCAGATAAACAATTCATTCTAATGCGTCATTCTTGCTGAGCAATAGTGTGCAATATTTAGCAGCAGAGGCATCCACTTGTCTTCGTAAAGAATTAAGAATCAGACAACGAAAATGGGCAAAACAGTTGCATTTAGTTAAAGGATACACATACACATACATTCATGAGGCAAATGCGTTTACTTTTGAACTAAGTTGTCCAAAAGTCACTAAGTAGGAGTTCTAATTCCTTGTTCTGTGCAACGTGTGATGCTCTTGTCCGCTCCTTCGCTGCCGTGCTCGTGCCCTATTGCGATTAGGCATGCACCAAACCGATAGTTCGGTGACCGAACATGTTCGGTTCGGAACAAACTGTTCGGTGCCGATTAGTGATTCCTAGTTTGGGATTGTTGCATGCCTAATTCCGATGAGAAACAGCAGTCAAATCTAAATGGAAGTGAAACGCTATAACTTTCATGTGGATACTGTTTGAGTTGTGGTCTTAATTTAGTTGTCGGCATAGATTATGGTTCTTAGCAGCAGTATGTTCAGTATCCGCGGTCTTTTCGATAGCCACTGACATTGATCTAGCACTTATATCTATTTATCTACCGAAAAGAGACCGCAGTCCTGTTTCTACTACATACCGTGAGAATATACATCTACTACGTTCAGCTTTGTTATACTCAGTTGGTTTGTGCTTTTCAGAACCAATTCGTATTGTTATTGTGTAGCCACAAATGAAAATGTACCGTATATCGGAATATTTTGGGACTAACAATGAAGGTGTCGCAAGAATAAAGAATTTTACACTAATTACCTTGAATTGCTAAGACTTAGCTAGATCACTCTCTAAAACAATCAGTTACAAGTGAAACTAGTGCATGCCTTCGCACTAGACGAATAGGACGCGGAAGAAACCGACTTTTTTACCACTGCCTTTGGTACTTCTTAATTCTCTGAAAACATGGCGGGACATAGGACGTAAATAGTAACGTGTACTACCGATAAAGTATGAAACATGCTCTGTCTATGACAGAGACAGGAAATGTATAAGCTACTCTTATTGCTTAACGGATGAGGCCATTGAATGAAGCTATCATTAAATTAATTGCGTTGGATTTCCATTAATGACATGGAAATAGAAAAATGTAAAAGACACTTCTCATTATTTGCAGATTAGATCCACTATTTCGATTTCGTCTATAATCTTTGTGTACGTAAACAAATGAAAAATTATACAAAACTCAGTGATAAAAATGACTGTTTTTACGTATCCATATTCGGGCAATTTCATAAAACATTTTTTGTATTTCATTTTTAATATTTAAATGATCACAGTTATCATGAACAATATGAGCCTAAAACAAAAAATTAATTTTCCAAATTATAGATCCTGTAATTACGTTTAGCTTAGAAGATTAACTATATCCTGGAGTTGTGAGATCATTTTAATATATTTTGAGTTAGATATGAATTTTTAAAACCAGTTGGACACCGTCTGGAAACTGTAGTTTCGTAAATTTCAGTTTCCATCAGATTTTTGAACTATCATTTGAGAGTAAGCCTTGCAACTAGAACTGGTGTGATCGATTACGTATGTTTCATGAGACTTCCAGGTTACTCCAAGTCACCAGACACCGACTCGGGAGTTCAAAGAAAACTTTTTGAGGTATGATCTTCTTTTCCAAACACTCGACTTGGGCAAATACTCGCGCGTACGAGAAGAAATTTAAAAATTTAAACTACCCCTTATATTGCCACTATTTCAAGTTTGTGTTACTGATTTTTCTGTGTGAGATAATTTTGTCATTACATAATCCTGAAAAAAAGAGTTGTAACACCTGTTTATAATCTTGACCCTGATGATATGCGGCCAGCGTTTTCCAAAATCGTCTGTAGAGCTTTTTATAGACAAAACAATCTACCAGCTCAAACCTCTATGCGTTGCAGAAATATGCCTTTTTTGCCGAAAAAACACAGTTTTCACCACAATCGGCCAAGTCATCG